TGTATGTATGTATGTATGTATGTATGTATGTATGTATGTATGTATGTCCTCTAAGCTCATGTCTTTATTCTCTGCTGCTACAGTAAAGTTCTTAGAAAGTATTCTGTTCATGCCCCAGCTCTCTGCTACTTCCTGTGCCTCCAGGCATGTCCTTGATGATACAAGTGGCAGCCGTTCTGAAGACGATGGCGAAGGACTTCAGTGTTGCTGCGGTGGTAAGCATGACTCAGGCTCTGAGTGCTCCATCTGTCTCCACTGTTCACCCTCAAACGCTCTTCTCTCCTGTTCTGGGCTGAGACCAACCACAGTAGCTGTTGTTCACCCTGATTCATATCATTACAGTCATATCTTTTAATAAGATTTTTAATGCACTCTCCATTTTTTTAACCTGATGTTAAGCTTATGCTATTCCTGACCAGCCATCCTAGAAACTTAAGGACAGGATGTTGTCTGGGCCCGTAGGTTACAAACCACGTAACGAGGAGCAGCGGTGGGGAGGTGCAGCCGGCCCTGGGTGCGTCCTGGAGCCACATCCCCAGAACCAGAGTCCTGCTGCAGCCGGCCCCGAGCGCCCGGCCCTTCAGCTGCTGCAGTCTGCGCTCAGCCACGCTCATCAAGTCCTCCAGACAGGTACGGCCAGCGGGCTCAGCCAGGGCTGTTCTCACTGCGACATGTGAGGCCTTAAAGGGATTGGCCCCCAGGCCTGGTCTGACAGAGACACTGTGGATGTCCAGCTTTAAACATCTGCCCAGGCCTCAGGGGAAAATACACCATTCCCTCATTCTGATTCCTAAATACAGGCTGTAAGTGACTCCCACTTTTCTGCTCTGTGCAGAACATTCAGACTGTTTATCCAGAAATGAATGTTCCCTTCACAAATTTCAGACTAAATTAGGCAATTTAACAGAAATTCTTCAGAAGAAAAAAAGAAGTGCTCAGCTCTGGGTTAACTGAACCCAAATTGATTTGAAATGACTCCAGTTGTTTGAGCTCTCATTTCTTCTGTCCTCAGCCGTGTGACATCAGAGAGGACTTTGATCTGCAGTGGTGGAGCCGCGGTGAGGAGGGCCCGTCGGGAAAGAGGAAACTGGATGAGACACATGATGAGAGCAGTTTAGTCCTCTGAGGGCTCTCACTGAAGGTGGGTGCACGTCTCAGAAATGATGGACTTTATTCATTAGCCTCAGACGTGACTAGTTTAGACGCTTACTTATAATGTGCACTGCGGATATATTTGACCTTAAGAGTGAGAAAGTAAGGTCACGCAAAATGATTTAATGATTTAACGGTTAAAGATGTGATGGAATTATCCCACAGGGAGAAAGGCTGATGTCAGCTATTCCACACTGAAACGCACGAGGGCGTTTTGTGGTGACTCAGAAGTTAGAGATCAGTGGGTAAATGGATGTTTTAACGGGAGGCTGTGGTTTACCAGTTTTCCATACCTGTGATGCCAGAAGTTAAAACCTGCTTTTGGGTGCAAACCCTCTACTTTTGTCGTCTGATGATGGGAGAGGGTTTCTATAAACGCCAGGGTTAGACAGCTGCTGTTTGTGGAGGGAGAAATGAACTACAACAGTTTTAAAAACCTCTTTTACTGAGTTGTTCCAGAACAATGATAGCAATCCTATTGGCTGACAGTTGTTTTCAGTTCATGATCTTAAATTTCATTCTGGTAAGAAAAAGCTGTTTCAGAGACTCATTGCAAACCCTCCTTTGGCTGTAAAAAAAAAACCTGAAATCCCAAAACACTGATTCTACAGAAAGGACCTCGTTCTTTCAAATAATAGTCATTTGTAGAAATAAAATAAAAAGTCAGGTGGAGCTTTCCAAACCTGATGTCCAGTGTGTGTGATCTGGCCTAACGTGTAGTGTTGGTGTGTGTGGGTTCTGCGGTCAGCAGGGGGGCAGCACCCGCCTCTTGCGGATGCACTCCCACACCCAGCGGGGGGAGACCCTCAGGGCCCGGCCGCCCCCCCCGGGCTGGGCCAGAGTGTGTGTGGCCGAGGCGGCGTCGTACTCCTGCACCAGGTCCCCGTCGTACGCCACAAAGTACCTCCTCAGACGGTCAGAGTCCTGAGTGGAGGCGGGCAGGAAGAGCTTCACCCCACTGAAGATGTCCAGCAGCGTCTGAGGAACACAGAGGGTCAGCAGCCAGCCGGTCAGAGCCTCATTAACACCTGTGGGTACTTTATCCTAAACACAACTGCAGGGACACCTGGATATTTAGCAGCTCTCTCAGGCCTGAGGTGCTGCTGCTCAGCTCTAAACTGAGAGCGTGCTGATGGGGGGGGTGTGTTCACGGTCGTCCTCAGCTAAAAACACTCGTTCACTGACCTTGTCGTTCCGTGGCTCCAGCAGCTGAGAGGTCACTTTAGGCTTGGGTTGTCCATTGCTGTGGCTATTTTCACTCTTTTTAGCCTAACGGGGAACAGGCAGTGGGCAGCTCATCAATATCAGCACATGTAAAGAATATAACGCCTTAAAGCCTTAAACATGCCTTACAGAGGGACAGAGATTAGTTCCAGCTCATTCAAAATGACCCAAAACTGTTGTTACCTAAAGTGGAAATAGTCTTTTCATTGACCGGCTAATGAGAAAAGTCATCTTAGTCAGGAGTTAAAACCGTTTAAAGGGGTTGACGGGGCTGGGTGTGCATGGACTACCTTCTTTGCGCTGGGGCCCTCTGAGCTGGGGGGGCGCGGTTCAGGTTTCACCACCGGTGCTTTGGTCGGTTTTCTGCTGCCTGTAAATGTTACACACACGGCCCAAAGTCACATCACACTGCATAGATCAGGTTTAGGTGCTGCATGAACAGAGGCTGACTCCCCTCACACCTGGGATCACAAACTGAATTTATAAATGGGACAAAAAGCCTTGAGTCTGAGCTTTAGCTGCCGGCTGACTAAACCAAAGCATGTCCAGAGTGTGTTGTGATGCTTCCCTCTTCCACAGTCTGAAAACAGCATTAAACCTCTTCTAACTGGCTCCTGTACTCACTGGTCTTCTTGCTCTGAGCGCTGGTGGGGGTGGGGGTGGAGGTGGGGGTGGGGGTGTGGGTGGAGGTGGAGGGGGAGGCTCCTCCGCTGTCCCCCCCCGACGAGCCCCTGTCCTCAGTGGAAGGACCAGCCGTCACTTTAAAGTCGCAGTTCTCCTTGGAAATGCGGAACAGCTCCTGAGCAGGGTGAAATAGAGAGGGCAGATTTAACTTCCACATGTGTCCAGCTGTGTGACAGAAGATTACAGACCTGTTGGGATCACATTATGGCGTCCAGGCATGATTTACTGCCCACAACCTAATTTCATCCCGTTTGTCAGGCGGCCGTTCCCTCCTGCTCAGGATGTGAGTCCCACAGGTGTTTAGCTAACTCTGGCTGTAATTAGTGCCTCCTCCTGTCACCTGTGTGACATGGCCCCCCCCATCTCTCACCTTTTCTCCCTCATACATTACGATGGGAGGTAATTAGCAGCAGGCGGGCCACAGGAGACCCCCCCCTCATACCAGTGCCCAGCGTCTAATGAACCTTTCAGGGTTCTCATTAAGAGAATGGTGTGTAATGCGGTAATGCAGGAGTCCTACTCTGAGCTGGTGCAGGTTGGTGGCGCTCTTCCAGTCCTTGTCGTCACGGATCCTGGTCATGCGGGGGAAGCGGATGGAGATGCCGTCAGCCGTGTGCATTTCTGATTTAGAAAACTCGGCTCCGGTGATCTCCCAGACCGGCGCTCGCTGCAGGAGGGGAAACGAACGGTAGGCAGAGCATGAACCACGAGAGAAGAGACTAAGTCCAGCCATCCTGACCAAGCCGGTCAGAGAAGTTGGACTTCTGGGTACTGTATGTCAAAGAAAAACATGGAACAGATTCTATACTATTTGTAAATTACTATTATGTTTTTCTTCCACAATAAATCAATAAAAAAAATTAAAAAAGAGAAGTTGGACTTCTGGGTACTGTATGTCAAAAAAAACATGGAACAGATTCTATAGTATTTGTAAATTACTATTATGTTTTTCTTCCACAATAAATAAAAAAAAAAAAGAGGAGTTGGACTTTATACATGTAATACATGGCAGTTTGAACTCATCAGTTAATCCCCATGAACCAGCAGGCCCCCGGGGGCACGTGCACGTGTGAGGAGGGGAACTCACCTCAGGATCCCGGATAATGAAATCTGGATAATAGTTCTTGATAACTTTCAACCAGCCGGGGATTTTGCTGGGCTCCTTCACAAAGACACACAGACACAGGATGAGTGCTGAGCCGGGGAGGGTGTGTGTGTGTGTGTGTGTGTGTGTGGGGGGGGGGGGGGTCTCCTATCTGACCTTGCTGATTTTGACCACGTCCAGCTCCTTCTGCAGCCGGGCCAGCAGCACGTCGTCATAGCCTCCAGAGCACTTGGTGACTGTGCACCACTTGTTGGAGTCGGGGTCGTAGCAGCCCATCAGGAAACTGGACATGATGCCCCCTGAGGAGCAGGACATCAGGCCCGGCATTAGGAGGACCTCCACAGGCTTTGCTTCACATTTTCAATCAAGCTTCCCAAATAAAGTTCCTCTTCATCTGAACCTGCGGTGTCTGTCTCCAGCTGTGGTTTTCTGACAACATGTGGCTTATTACTCAAACTCCACCAGCCGTGCACTCATTACTGTTTCGGTTATAATGAGAACTCCACCACTGCAAACATGTTGCATTTACATTCTTCCCCTAGTCACACAGGCACATGCACTATCTGGTCCTCTGAGATGGTCTCATGCTCTGTTATTGTAGGATAGCTCTGTATGATTACAAAATGCCCCTGATCAGACATATTATTCTGGGTTTTGTGAGGAGAAAGGTGCCGGCGGTACTGACCGTTGGAGCCTTTCCCGTAGAAGGCCCCCAGCACCACCAGGTCGGCCGTGTCCGCCATGGCCCCCTCGTTCAGGTAGTCCTTCTTTACCTTCAGCCAGTGGCGCTTGCCTGGCTCATAGGTGCTCTAAAAACCAGATCAAAGGCAGATTATTGCATTCTGCTGCAGCTAAAGCCACACCTCACTTTCCTTTTTGCTTCTACTGGACAGGAAATCAGTCACCTTGACGTCTTTCAGCACCAGCCCTTCCAGCCCCTCTCTGATGACCCGTGTTATCATCTCAGCCAGATCCCCTGCCCTCTGACACACACACACACACACGTGAGATTAAGAGTTACAGACACACACATCTATTGGAAACCAGGCTCAGAGGAAACACTCACAGTGACGTGCTTCATCTCTGAGAAGAGGATCCTGTTGGGGACTTCCACCATGTTGTCGTGCAGGAACTTCCTGCGCTCACACAGAGGCCTGAAACACAGGAGGGCTCTGCTCAGCTGCTGCCGCTCACAACCAGATACTGTCATACTGCTCACTTTCTCAAATCAGAGGCCAAAACAAGCCACAAATGGTGAAGAGCTGCTGAATTTACGATGAAGTGTTAATTCAGGGTTACTTAAATTCACTCATCTAATAAAATGCCGGTTTTAAATCCACACACCAACAGAAAAATCCAGCTTTAGCGACATGAACAATGACCTCCCACATCCATAAAACAGCAGGATGTTTGAAATGTTGAATCACACTCCACTTTATTCCCTGTGTGTGTGTGGTGGGAGGAGGACTGCAGTCCAATTAAGTAACCCAACTGGAACTGGACTGTTATCGTAGCTTAACTCAACTTCACTGAGACGCTTTCATCTTTCATCAGAACCTCAACACAAGCCTAATGAAATTAAACCAGCAAACCCATGAGGAAAACTAACTTCTTAGTTTGTTTTTTTTAAAAAGAAGCTGAATTTGGTCAAGCACAAAAAAGTCAGAACCTTCATCAGAATCGTTCCCTACAGTTTTTGAGGTGTTATAAAAGTTTTCTGGCATCATTCTCTTATTATTAAAGTGGAATGCAAAATAGTTTGAAGGTAAAAGAAGAAGTGTGAACATTACCTCTCCATGAGACTCACACCATTGAAGTAGATGCAGTCGAAAACAAATAGGCACACTTTGGCATCTTGAAAGGCTGCTTTCTAAGATGAGAGAAAAAGGAGATCAATGTCTGCAGAATCATGGCATACAGTAAAAAAGAGAAGCAAAGAAAGAAAAATGATTGAAACTATTTAGTGCTCTCACCTTGTGCACACCCAAGGTCCCAAAGGGCAGAGGTTTACTGGTGTTTGTGTCAATAAGGAGGACCTCAGCATCCAGAATCATGCTGTGGCCACCAGGGAAAGCTTGAGGGATGTACTCTTTGAAATGGACCACCTGTCACACAGAACATCAACACACACACACAATAAAACTGTGAAATTCATATTTATACCCTGTGCATAATCCTGTTAAATAAGAGAGCTCAGCTGTTATAGTTATCTCACTACCTCATTGTTCTTTACCTGGTAGCACTTTAATGTACAACATCAAATCCATATGTATACAAGTCACTTTAAATATATGCAAGTCACCCTAAATCTCTTCTTTATTCATTTATTTTTCCGATATGTGGACGCAGTGTATAAAGCTCATGCACCTTTTCCTCCTTTTGACTATAAGAGCCGATGTGACACGTTCATTTCTCCACTGTGAGATCAATAAAGTCTATGTTATATATATATATACACATACAAATATATATATATATATATATATATATATATATATATATACGGTGGTCTGCAAAAGTTTGGGCATCCTTGTTAATTTCAATGATTTTCCTTCAGAACTCATTGGTTCTTAGGATAAAAAAAATCTGTTAAATATATCATATAGGAGACAAACACAGTGATATTTGAGAAGTGAAACGAAGTCCATATGTATATAAGTCACCTTAAATATACAGGAGGTGTGCAATAATTGTTTTAACAAAATTAGGGATGTGCATAAATTTGGGCACTACAATAAAAAAATAAAAAAAACTTAATATTTAGTAGATCCCCCTTTTGCAGAAATAACAGCTTCTAAACGCTTCATATAGCTTCTTATGAGAGTCTGGATTCTGGTTGGAGGTATTTTGGACCATTTGCCTTAACAAAACACCTCTAGTTAATTCAGGTTTGATGGTTTCCGAGCATGGACAGCTCTCTTTAAGTCACACCACAGATTTTCACATATATATACATAGATATAACTGGCATAGGCAAGAAACCCTGCATGAAAACCAGAGGTTTACTGGTTACTATAGGATAAAGAACAAGTCCCAGGACCAATTAGACTAAAATAGAAACTGAGTTAGTTTGGAAAACGGAGAGGGCTTTCTTCATGTCCAGACCTCATTCAGCTGCTTTTGTACACCCAACAGCTCCACCTAGTGGACAGAGGACTGATTACTAAGGCCTGTTACCCTGCAAGCAGCTTGGTGTCGTGCTGGGATACCAGCGGACAGAAAACCACTGCAGGAAATGAGGGACTCTCATGCTGAGATGTACCTTTTAAGCTGCTCATCCTTTAGGGACCAACCTGAACACATTCCATTAGATTAACATTGTGATACTCAGCGGTAAACAGACTCGGGGCGGGGTGTTTCTGTATGGAACTGACTTTGTGAGGAAGGACGGGCTTCAGGCTGCGACTGAAGTAGCTGAAGGTGTCTCCATTCTTGTGGACCTGCACACGCTCCCCATCATACTTGATCTCAGAGTACATCCCGTTTGGGCATTTCTTCATGGCGTACTCGACGGATTTGCATGCTTCAGCCTGAAAACACACCAGAAAACAGTCGTCTGTGAAGCTCTCTTTGAAAGGCGGACACACATGAATCTGTTAACAGTCTGTTTCTTTTACTTCAGTCTGAGTTGGATGTGATCTGCCCATCTGCCATAATTCCTACCACAGTGATTCAATCATCACCACATTAATGACCCATGAGTGGAGCTCAAGAATTATTCCACCAAGTGCTGAGTCAAAGTACCAAGGATTAGCGGCTCATCCTGTTCATGAACACGTTATTAATAACTTTAATCAAAGCCTTCTTTTATAACGCTGCATTGCTCCGTAATTCAATCGGACTCTTAAAGGAGACTATACATTAACCTGCTGCTCTGACTGTTAGAGTAAACCTTTAAAAAGCTGCAGTGCATTTTATAAAGGCCAGTCAATGAATAACTCTTTCCATTTAATGTGTGATTCAATGCCTGGAAATGAACACTTTCGTCTCCATATGCAGTCACCTTAAAAAAAAAACATTAAAAAAAACCTTGCTGCCATATTCTGTCCACATCATGAAATTGTCATGAAATCACAACGACATCCCGGGACAAACTATTGACACACAAGCCTATTTGCCCTCTGGCCCATTTTGACCACGAGCACCGGAACAAGACACGGCTAAACACCTGTAGAGGAATGACCAACCACGGTGGTGGAGAGTGCTGAGGACTGGGATTAAAAGGGTTTGAAGCTCTGATGAAAAGTTCCCTGAAACCTCTTTGTTAAGGTCTGTCTCTTTGTGACAACTAAATATTCAGAAGTACTTCCTGAAGACTTCACTCAGCACTCTCTGTCCCCTCAGACACACGGCGGCTTCACTCTGAAGCATGCACACAGCTCCTGCTGGCACCGTGCACTCTGCAGACAATCCTGTTTGACTAGGATGAAAATCCAACACCACAACTCTGATCCAGGAGTAGCGACCCCACTGAGGACTGCGTGGAGCTAATTATCTGCCAATATTCACCCTTCTGTCGGCGGCTGTTTCATCTCCATCAAAAGTCAGAGACCCGGCAGGAAGGAATCACTCAAAGCAGGCAGATCCACAATGTGTGTGGCCATCGTTAAAACAGGTGGGCAGGTGGGATTTGACTAGTCTTTGTGCACATTACATAAATACAATCCTCTGCACAGATATCACAGGAGAGAAGAGCAGACCGCTCCTTTAATAATGCTGCCAGCTATCTACAACAAGACTGACATTTCCAAATACACACTTGTTTACTCTGCTGTTTGCCCAATGACATTCAGGTCAGGTTGCTGTTAGAAAGGGTTCAAATAAGGCCCTCAGTGTCATGGCACAGATAGGAGGAACAGCACATTCTACAGGACAGTGAGGTTACATTTGCTGCCCTGAAGTAGAAATCACTGTCTTAATTAGTTTATCTGGAATAATCCACAGAAACACCAGTATGGTGCCTAACATAAAATAAATGAGGGGAAGATTAGGACACAGGCTGAGCAGCACATCACGTTCATCCAGTGAACTTTGTGCACGTTTCAGCATCTCGTGTAGAAAAGGTCACAAATGTCAGAATGTCAGAAGTCCTAAGACGCATGGAGCACAGCACATGAATAAGCATCAGCAGTGAGCAACAAGCTCCAGACGAGTCCAGCCCAACGTACAGAGCGCCCATGTGCCGTGCTCACACATGGGGATCACACATGGAGATCACACACTGGGATCACACACGGGCCTCACACACGGGGATCACACACGGGGATCACACACGGGGATCACACAC